ATTCTGGGTTGGCACAGGTGTTGCGATGGCGCCTCAGTCGACAAGGGACTCAAACCCCCCTGTGCCCACAGCTGGCAGGCTCATTGAAACCCGTTACCCGTGTTCTTTTCAAGCTTATTTATTTATTCATTGATTGAGAGAGTGCGAGAGGCAGGTACCCTCCACGGGCTCACGTCAGCCTCGTCCCCGTCTCCCCAGCCAGCCGGAGGGCAGTGCACGCTTGTGCTGTGTCCAGGCTGGCCAGCACCGGGCCCATCTGGCTTCGGCACTGCACAGTGGGTGCTGCTACTGCTCCCAGTTTCTGGAATCCTGACGGCATTTTTCCAGGACCCAAGAAGGCAGCACCAAGGTCCTGGCAGATCGATACACACCCACAGATATGTGAAACAGCCAGGTTCAAAATTTTTTCCATGGTTCCTATTTGCTGAACGATGGCTATTAACAGGCCGGATGTTAGTTAACCCACTGCTGGAAACGAATGTGAGTGGAAGGCAGTCGAGCTGCACAGAACGAGAACAGGAAGTGCAGAAGGCCCCTGTGAAGCGGTCGGAAGATGCACGATTGGGCCTGCTCCCCACATGGCCTGCTGAGGGGTTCGAGTCCTGAGCCCAGTGGCTTGGAAAACACAGTGGGTGCGTGTGCGTGTGTACCAGAGCCCTGACAGGAGAATGGAGAAGGGACTGCAGTGACGTCTCACCCCCCCACCTGGCTCCAGTGAGCATGCATGCCCTAGAACAAACTAAAAGAGAAGATTCATGATCTAGTAACAAAACCACCATCTGTTGAAATTAATTGTCAAAGCCAAGAGCCTATGAAAAGAAGACTATTTCGGGTTTTCTAGAATGTCCCAGAGCCACCTGGGAAGGACCCCTGAGCCCACCAACCGCTCCGACTGTCCGTGCTGCCTGTGGGTCAGGCGGCTCCGACCACAGGACATGTGCAGCCCCTGCCCTGCTGTGCAAAATCGCCACAAGCAGACGACACTCACCCAACCATGGAGAGCTCCTGACGGACGGGCTGGGGCGGGACCGACAGCAGCCGACAGCTGGAACTGCTGCCAAACTGCACATCGAGGAGCTGCGGCGCCTCCCTGCACCGTGTAGCGGGGCTGTGTGCACCGGAGATTGGCTCACGGGCAGCCAGGCCTGAGAGGCAGCTCCTGGCTAGCACAGGAGCATGGCGCCACGTCACAGCCATGCACACCCAGGTGGCAGCTACGGCCCCTGCCTTCCCCGGCTCCACGACCTCTGTAGGGCCCACCTTCCCCTGGCCACCACTTCAGAGCGCCCAGCTTAGAGTGCAGGGCGAGGCGACCTCCAGGCCGAGGCTGCCTACGCAGGCCAGTGCCCACACACTCGCCCAGAGGGTGGGGCCCATGAGGGCCCATTCAGGCACCAGGGGCAAGGCAGTGCATTTCCAGACCGCAGGTTTCTGGAGAATGAAGGCTTTTGTCCTGGGATTTATATTCTTCGATCTAGAGTTTGCCCGGCAACATGCTGATGTCACTTTATGAAAAAAAAAACAGCCCAGCCCTGCCAAGCTCCGTGGCGTGCCGCCCGCTGGCAGGTGTCCAGACCTGCCACACTCGGCCCCCAGCACCTGCTCACAGTCCTCCAGCCACGGGGGCGGCAGACCATTATCTACAGAAACGAGAGGGTAAACTCTTAGCAGAAAAGTTCAGTTTTTAGAATATTAAAAACAAAGGACTTAAACAAGCAGTAAGATGACCTACTGGCCAGACCTGGGGCCGCGGCTCCACAGCCGCACCAGGAGCTGTGGGTCTGACCAGAACCCTCGTCCATGTGGAGTCCAGGCCATGCTCAGGCACACCAGCCCCGCGGGCCCTCAGGGGGTGGCTCAGCCCAGCCCTGTACTGAGGGGACGGGCAGAAACTGCCAGGGCAGCTGAGGCAGGAGTGGGGCTTCTCCCCTGGACACCTGCCCCACCAGACCGACCTCCCCAAGTGGGCGAAAGGGCTGTTTGGGCTAGCTGTGCCCCTCGGCCCACCTGGGCACAGCTTCCGACACAAACACTCTGGAGGTGGGGCCATGGGCACGGGCAGCCCGCTTGTCCTCACCCCAGAACCCTCCTGACAATAGGCGGTCAGCCTCATCAGGCACCAGAGGGCCCGTCTCAGGCCTGCCTGAGGAGGCCAAGACACGGGACTAGACAGAGCGCAAAGGCCCAAGCCCTGCACAGGAGGGTGGCGGCCCTCCCTCCGGCCTCCACACCCGCTGGCCCTGCTGCAGTCTGCTCCTTCCCAGTGACCCCAGTGTCCCCGCCACCTGGGGGTCCCAGCACAGAGCTGTCCTGGGCACACGTTCCAGGCCCTCAAACCCTAAACTGGCCTCCTGGGGTCCTGACCATACCTAGGTTTCCAACGACACACCCTTTCTTTGTTTCATTTATTTATTTACTTATTATCATTATTTTTTAATTTGACCAGAGAGAGAGAAAGTGAGAATCAACAGCCAGGTTCGAGACCAGAACTGCAGGTGGCCACGTGAGGTCCAGCACCTTAGTCCCGCACCACCTGCTGGCCCCAGAGATGTTCTCGGGGCACCCGAGGCCATGTGGCTGACAAGGCCTGTGGTACACCAGCCCTGGCTCGACCCCAGCCCACTCCTGCAGCTGCTCGGCCGCCACTCGGGCCCTCGGGAACACAGAGGAGGAAGAGTCCCATGACACCAGTCACGGCGACGCGCTCCACTACCCTCACCCACCCCGAGCTCCAAGGAAGGCTTCAGTGCCGACGACACATGCTGCAGTTGGTGAGGACAGAGGTGTGCACCACGGCCCAACCACCACGGTGGACACCACGCTCCTCACGTCACTCAGGACCCAGGACACAGGCACTGCAGCCAGAAAGGGGACCTTGCACACACCCAAACCAGCCCTCGAGGTCTTGGGGTCTGCGCCTCCATGGGGAGCCAGACCTGGCCGTCCTCTCGTGTCAACGGAACAGCCACCTGCTGGCAGGGGCGGTCACATGGCCCTCGGCAGCACCAGCACTGCCACCGCACACGTGGCCTCCAGGACCAAGGACTGGCGACCGCTCACCCAGGGCTGATGCCTGGCAGCGCAGACTAGAGAAGCTCACGCCTCACCTCTCTGGGGAGCGGAGGGGGGCTGTGCTCACGGTGCCTGGGGCTGGAGGCAACGCCACCACACACACTCATGCAGCCAGCCTGGGCAGGAGCCATGGCCCACCCGCTTCCCCACAGGCATGAGGCGCAGCACTGAGGCCGGACGGAGGGCCACACTGTGCCACAAAGGCCCCTGTCCCCACGGGGCCCCTTCCGGGCAAGCTCATTCCATGGTTGGGCTTGATAGCCTTTAGGCACGGACACCGCAGGCTCGAGTGTGGACGGGGCCTGCAAGCCCAGGGCAGTTTCCCACTGCGTGCCCGACGACCCCCGCCCATGCCCTCTCCCTCCACGGGGCAAGCTCAGGGGCCATCCCCCGGGACCTGGAGGCCAGTCCAGGCTGTGACATGGCCTCGTCACCTCCCACAGGGAGGTGGAAAGGCCGCAGCTGCCACTGCAGTCCTGAGCGGGTGGCCATAGCTGCGTCCCCAGTCAGTCCACCCAATCTCACGCCCAATGGCCAGAACAGACTAGCGCGAAGCGGCGCTGCACCCCGCACTTACAGGACAGCGAGTGGGCACCTTTGGGCAAGTACTCGAACAGCAGGGCTCCGTCATCCCCAAGCACGTCGGCCTTGAGAGACAGCAGGCTGTTCTTGCTCATTAGTGCCGCCCGCAGGCTGGCCACGGCGGTGGCCTGGTGCAGTGCCTCGTCCTTCTCGGGGGTGAGGGGTGGGCCCAGGCAGCTGGCTTCTCCTCCCAGGAGACCCTCATCCACGTGTGCAAACTGCTCGGCCCTCTCCCCACGGCCGTCCGAGCTGCTGGCCTCGGTGACAGTCAGGTCTGCACCTGGAGGTGGGAGGGACATGCGTGTTAGAGAGCACATGGGCACGTCAGCCTCTCCCAGCGCGAAGCGTAAAGACGGAGGTATGTGAGGAGCTCTGACCGCCTCTGCAGGCTGTGGGACAGCATCGAGTCCCACCCAGCCCGTGAACCAAGCAGGGCGCCCGGAGCCCTGGCACGTCAGGGCCATGACATGCCCCGGAGAGTGGCAAAGCCACCACCAGACCCCCGGTGGGAGGTCGATCCAAAGCAACGGGTGGGTGAGCACCCAGGACAGGGCAGAGGCAGCCCGGGTGGCTCGCTGGGCCAGCTGGAGTGGTGGCCAAGGCGGCTGGACCCCACATGGCCAGCTGTGTGGCTCAAGTCCCAGGCCCAGTGGCTTACAACACATTCTGGGTGCGTGTATGTGCGTGTCCAAACTCCCGAAAGGAGAAAGAGAGGGGCTTGCGGCGGGCTGCCCCGGAGTGGGTGCCCCCCACCCCATCTCTCTAGCAACCCACGTGGCCTCTAGAAAATTAAAAAAAAAAAAAGATGAGACACTCAGAATTGATCTGTGACCTCAGTGAATGTTAGAGGGAGGCATGTTCCCAGTAGCGGCGAGAACACACGTCCACACGCAGCCTGTGTGTAAGTGTTCAGTGCAGGGCCCTGGTGTGCAGCCACACAGCACGCACCGTGGACAGCACACAGCCGCACCACTGTGCCGCCGGCTGCAGGAAGGGGGCGCCGACTCGGCCTCAGCATGGAGGGCCTGGTGCCGGTGAAAGAGCCAGCGGTGAAGACCCCACCTCACAGTATTTCGTTTCTATGAAGTGGAATGGGCGGACCCAAAGCGACAGAAGGCAGATTAGAGGCTGCCAGGGCTGGGGAGGGGCAGGGGCTTGGAGGCTACACCTAGAGTGGGGTCTCGGTTTGGGGCGGTGGTGCTCCACAGCCGACTGAGGGTGGCTGCACCGCTCTGAGGTCAAGAACAACCTCAGGGTGTCCCGTCAGTGGCGAGTCACACTCAGTAGGCTGTCCCTTTAAGAGGATGCCTTTGGGCCCTGCGTGGAGCGTCCACCGGGCACATGCAGGAGCCAGAGGCCCAGACAAGGAAGGAGGCTGGTGGCCGAGGGCTTGGGGCAGCAGGACGTGGACAGCACAGCACCCTGTGTCTTCAGACACAGCCCCTAAGTCCTAGGGCAGCCCTCACACGCCAGCTGAGCACTGTGTCAGGGAGTCGGTCCCACACGATTGACCATGGTTCGAATCCCTGCACCCCCTCCTGGGGTGCTTTCTTGCTCCCCACCTGTCTTTCTGGTGAGTGTGCACAGCCCTGGCAATTAAAACCAAAACGGACCAGCAGTGGCACAGTGGTTAAGGCACGGGACCACGTGGCAGACCACAGTTCAAATCACGCCGGGAGCATGCACGTGTGTGCCCCAAATCCCAGAGGCAGACAGAGAAGGAACTGTGGCATGACTGTTCCCCCTGGGGTTGACGTCTCACTTTAAGAGGAAAATAAACCAGGGTACTTTAGGGGAGAGGAAGCACAGAGTGAAGGGCAATGGGCCAGTATTCGAGAGAGAGACGAGTGGTCTAGACGAGGCACTGCCCTGCCCTGAGCACGGGGGCTCCCACGGCCCGGCCACAGCGCCCTCTCGACCGGACCATGATCTGCAGTTCTCAAGGCTGTGCATCTGGAGACCCAGGGACAGGTCCCTGGCAGCCGATGTCCAGCTCAGTCCACCTGAACCTCAGCCTGGCCTCCCGGTAAACCTGTTACCGCTGCTTGGGCCAGGCGGGGCCTCCGAGTGACGCAGGCCCAGCCTCAGGAGACGGGCTGGAGGGTCACGGAGCCCTCCTCCAGGACTCAGGGCAGGGCAGGAGGGTCACCGCAGGGAAGATGCAGGCCTCAGTGCTCTGTGGGCCCCATACAGAGCAGAGGCCGCCCTTCCCCCGTCACCCTCAGCCACCAGGGCCACCCCAAAAGCAAACCGTGTCCTCGTCCCGGTGACCACGGCGCAGGTCAGCTCTGGATTCCTGAAGTCCTGTAGCCTCTGCCAGGTGCCTGGGCCACGACGGTTCACTCCAAATTTCTGGATGGCGTTTAGCGCATCTTCTGATGTAAGGGCAACACCGTGGCGAACAATGTCAAAGTAGCCGAGCCATCGAGAGACCGGGTATACAGGAAGCATGAAAAAGGGGCCACGATGGTGGGTGAGCTGTGACAGCCGCTCATGTCGCAGGGGCCACGGGCTTGGTCCATCTGAGCCGGGCCAGCATGGTTCTGAGTGGGGCCTTCCAGGGCGATGAGGCCATGTCGACACCTGGCCCTGCACCCGCTCTGCCGAAATCTTGACCTTGGACTTGACAGCCTCCAGTTGGAGGTGGCTTTCTTTCTTTTAAAAGAAAAATATTTATCTAACTTTGTTTACTATTATTATTTTAAAATTTGCTATAGGCACACACACTCACCAGAGAGTGACAGACACAGAGAGAGAGAGGGAAAGTGAGAAAGCAAACCACCAGGTCTGAGACTCAAACTGTGGTCAGCCTTAACCGCCTCACCACCTGCTGGCCCCAAGAATGGCTTTCTTTTTTTTTAGGTTGTTGCCATAGAGCCTGTGCACTCACCAGAGAAGAGAGGGACAGAGATACAGAGTGAGGGAAAGTGAGAAATCACCCCCCAGGGAGGATGGTCATGCCACAATCCCTTCTCCATACTCCTTGCACGCACATGTGCCTGGTGTGATTTTCAAGCCACTGGGTCTGAGACTCAAATTGCAGTTGGTCGTGTGAGAATCCAGCCATCCTGACTCCACACCAGCTGGCCTGGAGAAACGACTTCTCCCAGCATCAGGTACCCAGGCTCTTTCCGCCATCTTTCTGTGCCGCCACGACTGTGTGCACGAGTGTCCTGGCTGGTGCTCTCGAGAGCGTCAGCAGTGCTGAAGAGAGGAAGCGCCAGGTCCTAGGCCGTGCTCTGGTCACGTCTGCTTTCTAGCTGCGACGATGCATGGTTACGTGGCCGAATGTGAGATCGCTGAGCACCACAGAGCTGGGACAATGGCCGCGAGCCTCCACCGCAGGGAAGATGCAGGCCTCAGTGCTCTGTGGGCCCCATACAGAGCAGAGGCCGCCCTTCCCCCGTCACCCTCAGCCACCAGGGCCACCCCAAAAGCAAACCGTGTCCTCGTCCCGGTGACCACGGCGCAGGTCAGCTCTGGATTCCTGAAGTCCTGTAGCCTCTGCCAGGTGCCTGGGCCACGACGGTTCACTCCAAATTTCTGGATGGCGTTTAGCGCATCTTCTGATGTAAGGGCAACACCGTGGCGAACAATGTCAAAGTAGCCGAGCCATCGAGAGACCGGGTATACAGGAAGCATGAAAAAGGGGCCACGATGGTGGGTGAGCTGTGACAGCCGCTCATGTCGCAGGGGCCACGGGCTTGGTCCATCTGAGCCGGGCCAGCATGGTTCTGAGTGGGGCCTTCCAGGGCGATGAGGCCATGTCGACACCTGGCCCTGCACCCGCTCTGCCGAAATCTTGACCTTGGACTTGACAGCCTCCAGTTGGAGGTGGCTTTCTTTCTTTTAAAAGAAAAATATTTATCTAACTTTGTTTACTATTATTATTTTAAAATTTGCTATAGGCACACACACTCACCAGAGAGTGACAGACACAGAGAGAGAGAGGGAAAGTGAGAAAGCAAACCACCAGGTCTGAGACTCAAACTGTGGTCAGCCTTAACCGCCTCACCACCTGCTGGCCCCAAGAATGGCTTTCTTTTTTTTTAGGTTGTTGCCATAGAGCCTGTGCACTCACCAGAGAAGAGAGGGACAGAGATACAGAGTGAGGGAAAGTGAGAAATCACCCCCCAGGGAGGATGGTCATGCCACAATCCCTTCTCCATACTCCTTGCACGCACATGTGCCTGGTGTGATTTTCAAGCCACTGGGTCTGAGACTCAAATTGCAGTTGGTCGTGTGAGAATCCAGCCATCCTGACTCCACACCAGCTGGCCTGGAGAAACGACTTCTCCCAGCATCAGGTACCCAGGCTCTTTCCGCCATCTTTCTGTGCCGCCACGACTGTGTGCACGAGTGTCCTGGCTGGTGCTCTCGAGAGCGTCAGCAGTGCTGAAGAGAGGAAGCGCCAGGTCCTAGGCCGTGCTCTGGTCACGTCTGCTTTCTAGCTGCGACGATGCATGGTTACGTGGCCGAATGTGAGATCGCTGAGCACCACAGAGCTGGGACAATGGCCGCGAGCCTCACTGGCAGGTTAAACAGTGCGGGCTGCTCAGCCCCGGAGCTGATGTGCAGCTCAAAGATCTGGAGACATGGCAGAACAACCTGCTCCCATCGCGGCAGTCTGGCTTCATCATCCTAACGGCCTCAGCTGTCATCATGGACCATGAAGCAAGACAGAAACAGGAGGGAGGATCCTGGGATTGTTTTTCTAGGGATGTAACACACATAGGCAAATAAAATGCCTCATTGGGATAAAAACAAGTTTCCTGGGCTGCAGTGGGCACCCGGTGACACCAAGTGTTCTTCAGGGACTGACAGCCCTTCAGAAGAGACGGCAACAGGAGGCAGCGGGTCCCAACGGCTCAGACCCTGCACCACCGGGGCGAGCCTCGAGCCCAGGCAATGACGGCACCTCGCCTCACGGCCACGGAGCAACATTCGAGGCCTGTCCAGCTGGCGGGAAGTCCACTCAGCGGCTGCCTGGGGGCGAGGGCCTGATGACCCCGAGAACACTCAGGCCCTCACAGGGCTTAGTGCATGCATTTGTCAAAGTGTGGGCCAGCAATGGTGCGGTGGTTAAGGCCCTGGACTCTGCTGGACTCCCACGTGGCAGACCACGGTCTACGTCCCGGATCTGGTGGCTTGAAAATGCACACATGCCCCAAATCCTGAGAGGAGGATGGAGAAGGGGTTGTGGTGTGACCATCTCCCGGAGGGTGAGTTCTCAGTTTGTCTCTGTCTCTCTGGTGAGCACACGTGCCCTATGCCAAAATT